TAATATTTGAACGGGTTTAATCGCCTCTAATGAACGTGTACGAATCGTACATACGATTATTATTGATTGCTACGTTTGTTTAGCTCTACCGATGTAATATAATACGCTGAACGCGTATGTTATTTGTCGACCATCTATCGAGGTCTAAACGACGATTTTATGCTTATGTATTTATTTCTGTGTTGCGCGCAGCCATGGGTTTTCTAATTCGCAATTATAAAGATAATACATTTTTATGTTACTATAGGTAAAAAAAAAAAATGTTCTCGAAATTTTTATATCTCTCCAACTTTATCGGTAATCCGGTAAAATATACAACGGTTTAATAAGTTTTTTATTACCGTCTATATCACTCACTGCAGGTGCAATTTTCATGTATGTGCCGTGTACGCGTCAATATTTTGGTATAAATGCATAACTAGTTACTGATAATCAAAACACAATAAAATACCTTTTAATTTCATGGGTCTAAAATTAACCTCAAATTGAATAGAAGAACACCAAATGCTGACCTTGATTTTTATCAGTATTATTATTCAGAAGCAAGTTTTTGATAAATTATAAAAAAAAATACAGATAATAATAATAATAATACTTACAACTCGCTTAAAAAAAAAAAATAATAATTATAATAAAAAATTAAAACCTGATGATAAAATTTAAATAATATTCTTTGCAACTCTCATAATAGCTCCATAGGGTATATTATAATGATTATCCAATGTTCACAGTAATAAAATTATAAAAAAAACATATTGCTTTATCACGTAAAAAGTAGACGAAATGACAAATTCTATTGTCACGTACTGTAGGGGGCTGAAGACTGGTATTTATCAATGAAAAACATAAATAGGCAATAATAAATTTATAAACAGTTTATAACACTGCTAAGTGTGTATATGCGCTACAAGTTCTTGTCAAGCTACGGTTTGAACCAAACTGACGCAACGAACGAACAAATTCCTAACTAAAAATTAAACAAAACCGTGGAAATCGTGTTTGGTAGATTTATATTTTGAATTCTTCGTCAAGTCCATTCCGTCATACTATAAATATTTCAAATAATACAAGTTACAGTTCAATTTACGCTAAATATATTGTTAATATTATTTTTTAAGTATCATGTTAACGTAATAATTACGTTAATTATTTACCGTTTAATATCGTTTTTCGACACGTGGATAGTTTAAAGTAGAGTGTAATATTTGTTATAATCAATCGATTAGTCTCCACCATAAGACAGTGGCCGGCATCAACGTCCAACTAACCTACCTTGAGTTCAACCCTGCAGGTGAAAAACGATCAAATCTATTATAAATAACATCTCTCCGCATTCACCATACATTAGAACATAGCAATGCATATTAGAATAATTACATTTATTTTTATCGTATTAGTGTTACAGCGACACGATAATTTTTTGAACGCGCCACCAATTGGCGGTTTGCACGTGTAGCCTACATACTAAAAAAGTAAGGAAAAAAAAATTGGAGCAACAATAATGTCGATTGGGAAACGTTAACCATATAATGACGTCGGGTCGTCTATGTCTACGTCGTCGCGGCGGCTTTTCGATCAGTCGAATTAAATTATTCGTAAAACAAGGTCGGTAATAATGGCTACGTGTCTAATAATGTATGCCTATACTTAGCACAACAGTCGTATCGATCGGACGAATTGATTGTTAACGGAGATTATTTCATGACTACAGTGGCGGTCGAACTCGAATTTTCTTGACGAATTATTCAACGGTTATTGATATCGTAAGAATTGATAGGTGTGTTGCAAAATCGTTGAAGAACGACAGCACAGCAAAAGATTTGTATCGTGCAAATGTAATTTGTTTTTTTTTTTTTTTTGATAAACCAACTGCATATGTTCGTAAAACAATATGATTCACATATATATAAAGTATGTATTTATGCATATTATAAAAAATATTTAAACTGATGTGGTTGTCAATAAAATTACTATTATTGATCTATAGAGTTTAAACACTCATATTGTTTACTAAAATATACTGGCTGTAATTTATGAATGGGAATTGCTGTACTACTAATGCGATAGAACTTATAAAATCACCTTGTTGATAAAATACATATGTTTATATCTATATTTTCAGTCTTGGCTTTAAAGCTTCTATTTTCAAAAACCACTCAAATATTGTTATGTAAATTAATTTAATCATTATTTCTCTTTTGTTGTACTTCTATTATAGTGTTATAAATTTGTTGGTATGGTGCATTCAAGGACGTTAATCTAGAGCGTTCCAAATCGATCAATCTATACCAAAGTGTCATATTAAAAAATAATTTAAGTAAAATAAATATAGCCGACAATGTTGAAAGTAGACGTTAATTTATGTTTAGTCATACATTTCAAAAATCAATTAATCACTCATTTTTTATTATAAGCTCGATGTTTTTAATTAAATTTTACATCGAGTATTGTAATGGTATCATTACATAAAATAAAATAAATATTAAGAAATAAGACATTTCTTGGCGTAGATAGAAATACTTAATAATATTTAAAAAGTAAAAAATAAAGCCGAACCGTGTAGAATATAAGAGTTATCGTTTTTTTTTTAATTTTAGAAATTTTGCTTTAAAATTCTTCTTCTTTTAAAATCATTAAAATAGCGTAAAATAAATAATCGAGCTATGGAAACAATATAATTTAAGTATTTGCATTATAATTCGAATTTAATTTATATACACGACATTTGTATGGATTTCTTATATAATATATCAACTATTACAAAGACAAATATATGTGTTCACCCATTTCCCATAGCACAGCGGTTCCCAAACTTTTTTTTCTGCGGTGCCCATCTTTGGACTCAATTTAGCCAAGGTGCCCTGGCTGTGAATAACATTAAAGACAGAAACAAGAAAAATCCAATGATAACCAATTTTATTAATTTTAATAAAATGTAACTTAATTATAAATTAATGCATTTTTAAACTTAAAAAATAGATAAATAAAAATTATTGTTATTTTGATTATAATTATTATATAAAAATATTATAAGGTTAAAATGAGAATATCCGATTATAAAATAGAAAATAATACATTATTTTCTATAAAGTTTTTACGAAAACAATAAGGAAAAACAATTTTATACATTTTCAACTATTTTTTATGAACCGTAGACAACGATGTCCTTAGAAAGTGGTCATGGTGCTCCTAGGGCACCGCGATGCACAGTTTGGGAACCGCTGCCATAGCACATTATACGTATTTGTATTTTCGATACATTGTTGTTGTGATAATGTTTCCTATATAACTTATAGCCATCGAAAACAAACTTATTTACTATTATTCATTTACTATTTGGAATTGACACACACAATTATAAACATTTGCGTTGAAAATACTGTGGTAAAAGAGACAAATCATTGTTACATAATTTTTGAATAAAAAATGTTATAGTGTTTTGTACGAAAATAATTATGTATTTTAAAATTATAGTCTACACGGTGAACATTGAACAATTTAAAACTTTGTATAACTACGTTTCTTCTCGCGTTTTACTATTCTTTGTAAACAGTACGATTTACGAATCATTACAAGCGTGTCTTTCTTGTTTGATTTTTACGAGAAAGAAAAAAAAAAACATTGATGAAATGGAGTTAAATCCAGTGTCACTCGTGTGCAACCAAGTCGTGAAATGTTATCGATATCCGGTAATCACTGTCAATTGTGTAAAAAAAAATTAAAAAAATAGTCTTTGATGATGCAATAAGACTTGGGTGTATTTAATCGTGTAATAGCTACAATGGTGTGAAATCATTCACAACTGAATCCAATAGTAATAATCACCTATTGTCGCGGATCGGATCGTAATCTATCCAATACAACTACATATACGTACATAATTCAACCGGTGTTGAACGCAAACGTTATTGGGATTAACTACGCGGTAAGCGTTTGGTACACGTCTACGTGTATAAGCAGACCCGATTGGCAAAACAAAACTATGTTCACAGGAAGTTAACAGGAAGTTGTTAACAATGAAAAGTAAAACCATATTAAAATATTGAAGTCCGTGTTATTAGACCTCCTCCTGGTGATTACTATCAGATGTAACTACGTGTAGATTTTCCTCAACACGGGAATCCTGATTTTTTTTATACATTTATTTTGGTTTTTGTATTCACAGTTTTGACCTGGAAAAGAACATTACGACCGGTCATACGTTTTTTCTCATATTTCTCAAAAAAAAAAAAAACCAGTGGGTGTAAAGTTTTATGTATACTTTCTATATCCGTGTATAAAAAAGTATATATATATAAAAAAAAAAAAAACAGATCGCAAGAGAAAGTGTTATATGAGGCATAAACCGGTCGCGCCAAAGAGTGAGTCGCACCTAGTCTCGACTAACGTTGGGCGTCACTATACATGTTATCATCTCGGTCGACCAACTAATACGATTTAATTTGACCTGTGTCTGGTATACATTAAAATTGTTTGAATCGTTGAAGTTCCATGGTAATCTCTTTTAAACGGTCGTCTGCAGTATTATTAATATAAATCGAATACAACGACAATGTAATCATTAGAATTGTTCTCTGATATTGACAACGTAGGTGCTCCACTGATGTTCTATATGACTCACTTAAAACGAAATAGATATTTATCTTGTACATCTATAAAGTATACAATGGGTTTTGTTTACAAACTTCCACGTATTCGTATACGTTTTTTTCCCTGAGAAGTTAATAATATCGAAAGAAAATAGTTGCCGCTCACCAAGCGTAATTCATTTCAAATGTGCGGTTTGAGACAAAATACGTACAAGGCAGTCAAAATTTAAATGATTTTAAAATAATTTATTTTTTGATTGATTAAATATTATTGCATAACTTTTTCATCGCAAGGGATGCAAATAATAATAAAAAACCAATATCTATAAACAGATGATAGTTAATTAATTGAAAAATATGATATAAGTAGTACTAGTTATACGAATTAACGGTCTTTATTTATGATTTTAGACGATTTGATGGTTGTGATGCCGACTAGTACGCCAGCAGACGACGTGCGATCGGTGGTGGCCGATCATCGTCGTCAACGTAATGTGACTCGGTTGGTTGGAGCCCTGAGAAGAGCGTCATCGATTCCGGCGGGGTTGTTGACTGCTTCAGAAGCGCCCGAAAATTCGGATTCTTCGATGTCTCGAGTTAAGAAAAAAATTAAACATAAACGGACATGGGACGAGCCCGAAGCCCAATCGTCCGAGGTTTATAATGCTACGTCTAAGAGACCGGATCGAATCAAGACGCGTAGGCGGCTGATACCGTCATCGAGCACGGCGAGAGCGCATCGGACAGCTGCAGTGGTGCAGGAGGATCCGTATTACGATTTCGGGAAGAAAATCAAGCACACCTCTTCGTCCACAATAGGGCTTAACGTGCTTCAGGATTTGGAAATGAGAACATCGGTTAGGTCGCCGATCGTCGTCGTATCCACGACTGAAGAAGACGGTCCAAAAAGCGATGCAGTGACGGCGACGATGGACGTAGCTCAAGACAAATCGACCATCGAACGGAGTAGCCAAACCCCTAGACCGACTAGAATGCCGCCGAGTAGGGTTCACGGTTCGATGGCTGGCAGCAGTGGGCCAAGACGACCCGAGAACCTGCAGCAGACCGCGGAATGCGTGTACCCAAGGTTCACCAGGAGGAACAAATCGCGTTCGCAAAGGGACGTAACGGTGAGGTGTCTGCCTGCGGAACCCGATGCCAGGACGACCAGGATACTTTCGACGGTCGTCACTTCCGTGTCGTCCGTAAAGGGGAATCACCAAAAGAAAAACGACACTCTTGACCGTCCTGCTGCAGGGTCGACCACGGGTAACGAAAATAATAACGCGACCGACGTCTATCATCCGGCCGTCGTACATAATTCCGGCATCTCCATACCGACCACAGTCCGTCCGGAACCGATAATGATGACCACGGGACACCCGAAGTACCTGCGGAGTCGGTACAAGAACATTTCACTACCCGAGTACTTGGAAATCACAAAAGTGAACCAAAAACGGTTGAACAGCAGTAGCAGCAGCAGCACCACCACCACGGAGCATGCAACCCGGCCGATCTCGACCGAAGTGACGACGTCAGAAAGCGCATCTTCGTCGTTTCTTCTGCCGACCGAGAACATAACCACTACGGCGGAAACGCAGGACACCTCAACCATCCACGCCGCCAGCGATGGCAAATCTCCGACCTATCCTTCGCCGCCCAACGACTTGCAGGATTTCGTGTACCTGAGCAACGGTACGTCCACGGAAACGCCACCAGACACCATCACCACCGCTGCAGATAACGGCGTAGCCGTCGAGGCAAGACAGCGGAGGCCGGTCCTGACGAGGAACATTACCCGCGGGCTCTCGACCGCCGAACACGACGTGGGCGTGGTGTACCCTGAGGGGTTGGCTTCGTCCACGTACTTATTGACTTTTCTGGCCATCGTGCCGTTGGTGCTAGTGATCGCGTTCGCGTTCAAGTTGGCCATCCAGCGGAAGAAGAAGAAAGTGTTCGACAGTTCCGAATACTCGTCCGAGTACAACCGCAGCCCGCTGGACTTCAACACCATCACATCGTCGCCGATCACCACGAAACTTCCCAGGGTGCCGCAACACATTGTCTGGGATGCGGAAAAAACGTCGGTCGCGATGCCATTGCCACTGCCACCGCCACCACCGTCGCTGCAGGTACCGCCAAGTAATAGCCGGTGGGAGTTCCCTCGAGAAAAGCTACGTCTCCAGACGATTTTGGGCCAGGGCAACTTTGGTCAGGTGTGGAAAGCCGAGGCTGACGATATAAGCGGGCACGAGGGCCTCACCAGACTCGTAGCCGTGAAAATGGTTAAAGAGGACGCGGCTTCTAGAGAAAGAGAAGATCTGATCAGAGAGCTCAGTATTATGCAACATCTCGGGTCACATCCTAGCGTCGTCACGTTGTTAGGATGCTGTACGGAGAAAGGTATACACACATAAGCACGCGCAAACGTACATATATACATATATATATATATATATATATACGTTTTCTATGTATCGTATACGCTATTATTGTAAGTGAAAACTACCATTATATCGTTTTGTGATTATTGCAGAACCTTACTTGCTGATCATGGAGTATGTCATGTATGGCAAACTATTGGCGTTCCTCAGAGATCGACGGACACGATCGCATTATTTTAATTTTAGCGATTCGACTTCTTCGCTCACGTCTAGAGATCTGACCGTGTTTGCTTATTGCGTAGCGAGAGGAATGGATTTTCTGGTCTCGAAAAAAGTAAGAAATACTTGTTTTGTGTGGAAATAATGGATCAGTATTTATTTTAATACTGTATTGACCGTAGTTATTACAAATTATATTTGTGTAAAATACGATAAATTTACTATTTGTCAAACAGCGTAAGATTGACTTCTTCGGCCATTAAAAGTCGGCTCGCGCAAGTGTATATGTTTTCCATCACGAGTAATATAATTTAAGGCAGTTGATGAAATACAATAGCATTGTTCGCTTTTATTTAATAAAAAATATAATTTCGACGCTTATACTCGTACATGGCTATATTATTTATTAATTATAATATCTAATTATTTCATTTGTACATAGATAGTACACAGGGACTTGGCGGCGAGAAATGTATTGGTCGATCATAATAAACTATGCAAAATAGCAGATTTCGGTATGTCTCGCAACGTACGTGACACAAACCAAATTTACGAACAAAGACATACCAAGGTACGGCTAGGATTTAAAATAATGTTTCATTTAAATTTACCGTTTATTTTAATATTTTAATTTGCAGGGTGCTTTACCTATCCGTTGGATGGCACCAGAGTCATTGCATTATAGTATATTCACATACAAGACTGACGTTTGGAGCTTCGGTGTACTAATGTGGGAGATTGTTACTCTAGGTAAGCCTACGCACTAATAATTAAATGTAATAAAAAATGTCTTAAACAATTCTTACGTCAAGTAATTTCTCTGTTTTTAAGTACATATATGTGGTACATATAAATGTAAAAAGTATATAAGAATGTTTAAGGATTTTAAGTAAATAATTCGATTTTAAAATTTAAATAGGTACCTTCAAATCTATGTTACAGCTAGTTAAAAATTAAAATTAAACTTTTAAATTGTTAAGAAATAATTCACGAAATATAATATATTATATATATATATAATTACCACTCGAAATTTTAAATAAACTTGAAAATAATAGCGTTTCAAAAAACTATATTTTCATAATTTATTATTAAAATAAACAATTCTAATCAACAGCAGAGTAAATGAAAAAATGTAATTAAAATTATCACAAAGTAAACAGATATAATCGTATATGTCTTATTCTCTATTGAATTCATGCACCATGTAATAGAGTTACTGGTTTCAATGAGATCAGCTAAGCCGTTCGTAATGGTTGGGTGTAGTGATTAATTTCGAAGATAAACGTATCAAAATAGTTATAATCATATAATTATCCTCCACTTCGTCGTAAAAAAAATCCGTATATCTATGAGTGGAACCAAAATTATATCATATCATAATATAAAATAAAATAAGTATTTACGTTAAGCATTAATATTATATCAATTATTATTATTAATTATATTATTCATTAATTGGGTAGTACATATTTTTTCTCTTTCTTTTAGATCGTGGTAGCCCTGGTCATAGGGTGTAAGCAGGGGCATCATTTGGGGTATCGCAGGGTATACATTGGCGGCCCTATTTTTCCCCGTATCATATTAGCCTGCCTTAATTTCATGCTGGCGCCGATGCCCGATATATCAGAGTTAAATTTAATTAATTAATGCTTGAATTGGCTTATAGATGACATTGTAATCTGAATTACATAACAGAATATTAAATACAAAAAAAAAAAAATAATGCTAATAACTACTGTAATCTAAAAGTACAAATTATAAGAGCATATGGTTCTATTTTAATTTTACAGTTTATTTTGCTATTTGTTTTTTTCTTTTTGCAGATTTATTTTTCATTCCTAATAGTAAGGTTAGAAATAACTCCAACATAGCGTCATACCTATATTTCAATTTTCATTGTTATAACTGTGGCCTGGTGGTAGAAAAATGTGGCCTAGTAAAAAATTTTGCAGCCCTATTTTAAAACTGAAATGGTGCCCCTGAGTGTAAAAAGAACTGTGAATATTTTTTATTCGTTACAGTCAGTAAGTTGGAACATATAAAGTAGACCTCAATTCTCTGATAGTCATCATGGTTATCTATCCAAGAACGAGAATATCGGATTTAACTTAATCGCAGCGCTGAAACAAAAACGTGTCTATTATTATAATCTAGGAAATTAAGACTTAACCATAATGAGTATTAAAAGATATATGCTTTTATACTTGAGTTTGAATGTTATATCTATTTCGTGAAATCGTTATTTTCATATTATGAAAGCAGTTTTCCGAATTTCAGAATTGAAAAAAATGTTTGAAATAATTATTATTTCACGAAATGGTCACGGCGTTAAGTGATATTTTTCATTTGAAAAAAAAAATTATAATATTATGCAGTACGTGTAAGAACGTGACTAACCGACAAAACGATACGAACGAATAAACAATTATCAGGCTATCTCAAATCTCTATATCTATTGGAACAAACATATATTATTCAACTAAATTTTAGGTATAGAATTAAAGTAAAAAATGTAAAACTAGTTACGATTTATATACGAATAAAAAAAAAATAAAATACAACGATGAGTGTTGCTTTTAATATTTTATTTCATTATACACTTCAGTCTCTAATAAGTACGGGAAGTATTATAATACGATCCATATATATAATTATGCATAAAATATAGCTCGATTTTCCCGCATACAGTAAAATCTTGATAGCAGTATTGTAATCTATTATTTATTATTAATTATCTATTATAAAGTTTACAGTCTAGTCCGAAGATTAAATTTTAATCTATTTCGCATGGGTATTTAACTGACAAGTGAGCAGTTTACTAACAGCAATGCGTATGCAAATATGGTGTCAAATGTTTTACACTTAATTACATAAATGATAACTAGGCTGCTGCGAATTTAAATAATCTAAAAAATACGAAAAATACCTTAAAATTATTTTTAACGATGAAAAATATTTCTTCTATTGTTTAAATTATTAATTATTATTCTACATCCTTATCTCTCTTTTTATTTTCTTCTTATTTTTATTTTTAACCTTTCTTTTTATCTTTTTAATAGTCAGCGTCACATTTATCTGATAAAATCGATAAAAACATAATACGAACAAAAACAGAAGTAAATATTATTTTATTTCAAGCGTAAGAAAAGGTGATGGATGCGACAAATGCGATTAGTAGGAGGGATCTAAACAGAATGTTTATCAAATTTTTTCTAAAAAAAATATAGGAAAAAATGCGCCCAAAAATCAAATAGTTCTAAAAATCGAAAAAAAAATAAGAATAAATATTTTTCTTCCGTAAATAATGTTCGATGTACGATGTTTCAGGACGTTCAAGAAAAAACGCAATCGCACCGCGTAACTAACACACCTGTCGTTGTTTATGTTTTACAGGTTCGACTCCCTACTGCACGATGGGCGCGCGGGAAGTGATGCGACGCGTGCGGGAAGGCTACAGACTCGACAAGCCGGCGCACTGCCGGTCCGAACTGTTCAGGGTGATCACCAAGTGCTGGGCTGCCGACCCGTCGAAAAGGCCCACGTTCGCCGATCTGAAACAAGAGCTAGGCGCACTTTTAGAGAACCCCGAGTTCGAGGGCAGCTACGTGGACCTGGAGAGCCTCGTCGACGAGTCGGACGCCAACGTGAAAGACCGACAGTAGCGGGAATCTACGATCGCACGCTACGGTGGATTTGTTCGTGTGAAAAATAAATATATTGATTTTTAGATTTTAACAGTTTATTATTATTATAATTATTATTATTTTATATAAATGTATAATTTTATTTCATTATTAGACTCTTCGTTTTTAGTTTATGCGACGTATTCAAGTAGTTCTATACCTAAAACGAAATGTTGTTGGCGGCAAATATGTGTACACAATATGTATTTGTCCGTTTGAGGTGTACTTGTGTGTTGATTCATTGCGAATTGTTACGATCGGCTTAAATGCGACTTGAATCTTATTTATTATACACATTTATTATATAGTATTAAAAATGTATAATTGGTTACTTAGAGTATATTATAATGAAGCAGAAAAGAACTGATATATTTGAAGCAACATAATCAATAAGCTTTATTGAAATAAAATGTATTTCTCTATTTTATTTATGTTGGTACATGTATAGTCATATTAAAATGTAATACATTATTTTTTTTTTTTTTTAAGAAAAATATAATTATTTAAGTGATTAACTTTGTTCTTTTGTGTATCGATTCTTTAAATAAAATGTTATCATAGAAGTAAATAGTTATGATTTATGACGGCTGCATGTAAACTCCTACACGAATAAACTTTTTACTTGAATTTAAAACATAGTGTAATCTCCTACACAGACCCTTTTTACCTACCAATAAAAGATGGTCTAAACTCCTATTTACACAGACCTTATTTAGATAAGGGTTAAAGCTACATGACATAAACGCCGAATATTATAATGAATACTAAATATATTCTATTTAAACAATCGAATTTAAAATCGTGTTTACATCTATAATCTGTAGTCTACTCAAAATGAGATCAATACTAACAGCGACCAGTTTTCGTCCACGACGTTTTAATGACACAGGTGACGCTCTATCGCAGCGGTTCCCAACCCGGGGGTAATTACCACCCAAGGGTTAAAAACACGATTTTTTGAGGGGTAAAGGTTAAACTATTTATTTTAATTTTAAATACTTATTATCTATTTAGTCATGTGTACTCTAAATGTACTTGTAATACTATAATATTGTTGCTAATAGTTTTGGGGAATATCTTATCTTATGTTCTAACGACACTGATAATTTCATTACCTTCAAATAATACTTTTAATAATACATTATCTTGAATTTCTTGGAATTTTTTTTTTTTTTTCATATAATTCTCTACACATTTTAAGGCGCGTCCAGACGGAGCAGCTTTTGCCGCGCGGAAAATACGCGTCCATACGAAGCGGCATTTATTTCCCGATTTGTTTTAAAGCTATAATAATAATAATAATAATAATATATATTACTCATAAGTACTATAGAGTTGTGTCGTTTTTAATGGACAACGAAGTGTACGAAATCAGCAAATAATCTATATTTTTGAATCTTAAAAAACATGAAATTAAAGATTTTTGAAAAATCATTGCTGATCTTAGTGTTTTAAAAAAACAGAGAATCTTCAATATCGAAATTTTGATAGAATAAAAATTGTGTCTTCTGGAGATTACTACGAAAATCAGTTTTACCTCGGTGAAAAAAGTTTGTTCTGTTACTAATTATTTAAAAAATAATTTAAATACCTACTTAAAAAATAAGTACTGATGCCGCGCGGCTTTGCCGGAAATGCGTCCACGCACACGCGGCATTGGCGAGCGGCGCAAGCCGCGCGGCTTTCCTTTAATGTAGACCGCCTACTAGGCCGATCGGAAATCATGCCGTGCGGCATCAAAAAATAGCCGCGGAAAATGTGCTCATGTATTCACACTCACGCCGCGTGGCAAAAGCTGCTCCGTCTGGACGCGCCTTTATTTCCTATATGTAAAACGGTATCGATATTTAATTTAAAGGTTTTAAACTTATAACCATCAGTTGTTCGCCGTTTGTTTATCAGTGTACTTGGATTTTCAACAACGGCAACAATGAAAACAGAAGCGAGAAACCGATTGAACTTGGAACACGGCGTCTAAGATATGCATCGACCGAAACTGAACCGAATATTAATCAAATTGTTAGAAAAAAGCAATATCAACCGTCTCATTACCGTTTATTACCGTCATTGGTTGTAATAAAAATTCTTGTTTTTTTTTTTTTTTTTGTTTGAAAAATTACAATAAATTATAATTATAATCGTAATATATATTTTTTTTCGTTGTTTTTTTACTTAACTTTATTTTGGGAGAAAGGGGTATTTGTTAATATCGAACCTGACTTATGGGTAATAGTCTGAAAAAGGTTAGGAGCCGCTGCTCTATCATAATCGAGCTGACGTTATGGGTCAGTTTTTCCTCCAAAATTATAGTCTACAAATGATACAACAAATGCATATGAATCTTTCGATTCTAAATTTAACAAAAATTTTTATCATCACCATCCGAATTTGCATTTATTTGTGAAAGTTTTGCTAGACATACAGACCCAAACATACGTAAAAATTAGAAGTAGTGATATACTTCGGTTTCGACAGCTGAAAACAATTTTAAAATATGATTACATACAGGAATAAAAAATAAAAAAATACAATAAAAGAGAAATTTCACGTCATGAATTTATTAAAATGGTGTGCTATAAAAACAAACGTAAATAAATATGTGAATAAAAATGTATTTGTATATTATAAACCGTGTAATTTTTAATAGATATTTTTTCCTAAAAAGAGTTAGTAATTGTTTAGTTAAATTTTAAACTTATTAAAATATACAATTCAATTACTGTTATACAATTAAACTACTGTATTAAAATTTAAAAAAATGTATTATAACCAAATGGATTTATTCTTATTTTGGAAGTTCAGCTTTTTGTAACCTTAGTATAGGAGTTAACACTATCTTTTTAAGGATTTAACAATATCTTATGTAGATGTTAATACTAGGTCCAAATAGAACCTTCTTTTGTAGGAGTTTACCATTTCTCTTGTAGAGTAGATAACGACATTATCGGTATTAAACAATTGATTTTGTTTGATCAGATAACTCTTAAAATGTCTACGGTAAAATAGTGTGCATAAAGATTGTAGGTATGATTTCGAAACTACGAGCTTAATATCGTAAATCAAAAATAGAGTATAATATGATTCGATGGTGTATTTTCAAATTTTTTGTGTAAAATACATATAGCATTGATTATATAATCATATATATAATATAATATAATCAATGATATAAAGTATAAATTAATTATTATATTATCATACACAAGGCCGTAACTGGAAAAAAATTTCTGAGGGGGGTCTAACATTATTATTTAATACAATTCATAGTTAATAAACTATATTCCACGTTAAAATGTTTCTACTTTTGAAAATTTCGGGAGGATTCCGGACCCTTGGACTCCCCCCCCCCAGTTACGGCCATGATCATACAGATATTTTTATACAAACATTACAACCACATGATAAAAATTAATGTATCTTTCTCTATGCCTGTATATTGCCGGTAAAATATATAAGACAAACCAATTCACGCCTATTTCAGCTGGGTACTAGTCCAATAGTATTAAATACTGGTACAATATAAATAATGTTTAAATGTGTTGTAATAAATTCAAATTTATTCAGAATATTAGCAAAAAAAATTTTATTAATAACATATTTCTTCGTAATAAAAAACAAAAACAAAAAAAGTTATAGGAAAAAATTATTAGGTCATTGTGTGTAAAACAAAAAAATTTGCATCATGGATAATTCTAGTAATTCCGATGAATCTTTATGTAACTTAGCATTTACGTAGACCAAAACGCAAAAGCAGGGTGCTGTGTTAAGTAGGCAATCTTCTTCGTCATCGTTAAATAAAATGAAGAATTGCTCGTACTCATCAACATCCAAAGTCGTAAGAACAATTTCGTGGTCCGTATAGTCCTCGTAATCGTCCTCGCAGTCCTCAATATTCTCGTTATACACGTTTAATATTAAACATTTGACCGGGGGACAATGATCGGTACACGACGGCAAACGACTACGTTTACAGGTAGATAAACTAGTGGAGTTTACGTCATCGTAAATCGTCAGCGAGTTTGTTGTATTCGGTTTCCGAGATGCTCGTCCGACTCCTCGACCTTCAAAAAACTCGTCGACGATCAAATATTTGATCGGACGGTGCAGAGAGTAAGACTGCGATCGACAAAGACTACGTTTCGATGCACGATCGATAGAATTTGCGGTGCTTTTATAAATCGATGATCGCCAACGTTCGACCGCCGAATTTTCCGTTCTCGGGTATTTAAAAGGACGGCCCGAAGAACAAGACTGTGATCGAGAACGCTTCTTGGAGGATGTACGGGTCGATATAACTTCAAAAATGTTTCTGTTGAAAATCGTAAAGTCCCGGTGTTCGATTACCCGGTTATCGTTTTGATATTCGTATATTCTATATTTCACCGGCCGGGTTGGGGAGGAACTATACGACTACGCTTGAATGTGCACGTCGAATTCTCCCCGTTGTAGTTGTAAAAGCTCGAAATCTGTGATGCACGTTAAGCAAACCGATTATTACAGGACTCGCATACAATCAAATATTTGACCGGCCGGTGTGGAGAGGATGAGTGTGATCGACGACGACTACGTTTTGATACACCTGTTGGATTTGACTGTTTATTTCTTGTAGAAATCGAATACCGCCCACGTCCGATCGCCGGATTTTCCGTTCTCGAGTATTTAAAAGGACGGTCAGGTGAACTCACTGTCCACCAGCGAGGCGTTAGCAGGGTATCCGTGGTCGCATCGACCATGGTAGGTTTCTGAGCGGAGGGAGCGGTTTGTATGCCTACGGAGCTAAAATCATCAGTATCCCTAGCTTTCATGGTGACAGGGCTCCTGATATTCTCATTCTTAGTCAGCAGATTGTCAATTGCTTCGTCCATGGTGGATAAAAGTTCCAAAAGGTATGAAATTCTTTTAATAACATATTTCTTCGTAGTAAAAAACAAAAACAAAAAAAGTTGTAGGAAAAAATTATTAGGTCATTAAGTGTAAAACAAAAAAATTTGCATCACAGATAATTCTATTAATTCCGATGATTATGAATCAGTTTAGTTAAAATACGTAGATTGTTGTATGATGGAGTTTTGCCATATATATTGAACACAATTTTTCAAAAATTAAATTTACAAAAAAACAGTACTCTTAAAATTAAGTTTGCTACTTAAAATTAGTACTTTAACTTTTTTTGATTACATAATTTATTGTTCTATCTTGATGTAGTTGTTACTATAAAGCCATTTTAATAAAAAAAAATCCGACTTATTTTATTTTTTTCCAGAAATCGGTTGGTATCTTGCGACTCCATTCAAAGACTCAATTTGAATGCTTGGAGAGAAGTATAATATAATTGACCGGCATCGTGTTTGAAGAAAATGTGCTACTATTTTTTTAATTACATTTTTCGTATTAGAAATTTAGAAATTAGTGTTCAACATTTTTCGAATTATAGAATAATAGTGATAATTTGCATT